CTGGGAGAGAGAGGAGAGAGAAAGGGCTGAGTGAGTGGGTTTGTGGGTGGGTGGGTTTGTGGGTGGGGTGGGTGAGTGGGTGGGTGAGTGGGTGGGTGGGTCTGTGGGTGAGTTTGTGGGTGGGTGGGTGGGTGAGTGAGTGAGGATAGCTGAGTGAGGCGGTGGGTGTGTGGGTAGGCGTGTGGGTACGTGAGTGAGTAAATGATGACACACACACACACACACACACACACCACACACACACACACACACACACACACAACACAACACACACACATATGTATACATCCACACACACATCCAAACACATTCAATACACACACACATACACATTCACTCTTGCACTTCTACAAGTATATCACCCGCGCCCGTCACGTGCTCTGAACCGCCTCGCAACGGGGCTGCAATTATGGCCTTTGTTTCAGTTCGTTTTACTCGTCAGCTTTTAGCATCAGTTTTTTACGGGCTTTATTCACCGTGGAATTAAGGCGGGCGATATGCATGTCCACGCCCTGAGGGAAGAACCCGGGTGGAAAGAGGGGGATGGCGAGGAGGAGGAGGAGGAGGTGGAGGAGGAGGTGGTGGTGGTGGTGGTGGTGGAGGAGGAGGAGGAGAAGGAGGGGGAGGTCGAGGGGAGGAGGGGGATGAGGAGGTGGTGGTGGGGGTGGTGGAGGTGGTGGAGGGGGAGGAGGAGGAGGAGGAGGAGGTGGTGGTGTTGGAGGAGGAGGAAGAGAGGAGGAGGAGGGGGAGGAGGTGGTGGTGGTGGAGGAAGATGAAGAGGAGGAGAAGGAGGAGGAAGAAGAGGAGGAGGAAGAGGATGATGATAAAGGATTTACGAGGAGGAGAAAGGAGAGGTGAAAGACAAAGGAAGATGGAGACATGGAGGGGAGGGGGGAAAGGGATAGGAAGAAGAGGGGATGGGAATAGGAGAAAAGAAAAGAGAGATGGATATGAAAGGCATGGAATAGGAGAAAATATGAGAACAGAAGAAGGAGATGAAAGAAAAGGAAGAGAGAAAATGGGGAAGAGAAGAGGAATGGAGAGGAAGTCGACAAAGAGCAGAGACAAGGAGGGGGAGAGCAGAGGAGAGAAAATAAAGAGAGAAAAGGAAGAAAGAGACGAGAATAAAGAGAGGGAAAAGAAGAAAGAGGCGAGAATAGAGAGAAGGAAAAGATGGAAAAGGAGAGGGAGTAGAGGAAAGAAAAGTTGAATAAAGAGAAAAGAAAGGAAAAATAGTAAATGAAAATCAGAAACTGGAAAGAAGGAAGAAGATTAAAAAGGGAAACGTAATCAGAAAGAGAGAAGGATACACGGAAAGCAGAACAAAACAGTAAGAAAGAGAGAAAAAAATGAAATGAAAATGCAACGAAAGAAAAAATAGCGAGAATACAAAAGAAAGCGAAAGTAGGTAGGGAGAGAGAGAGAGAGAGAGAGAGAGAGAGAGAGAGAGAGAGAGAGAGAGAAGAGAGAGGAGAGAGGAGAGAGGAGAGAGAGAGAGAGAGAGAGAGAGAGAGAGAGAGAGAGAGAGAGAGAGAGAGAGAGAGAGAGAGAGAGAACGCGAGAGAGAGAAGGATTATCGAAAGAGAAGACAATGGATAGGGAGGGTAAAGAACAAGCCAAAAAAAAAAGAACGAAATTAAAAAAATAAGTAAAAGACAAACGCACTCACTTTGTCTCCCATGAATCTGTCTCCTTTTCCTGACCTTTATTTTTTCTTTTCTTGACTATCTTTGTCTTCCTCGCAAGATCAAGTAAAAAAAAAATATATCTTTAATATACATGTTTTTCCTCTCGGTGCTTAAAAGACCCTTCCTCCTTCTTAAGCTCTAAGAGGGTAATTTAAGGAATTAAAAAAGGGAAGGTAAGTGGTTACGGAGAGGGTCAGATAGGGGGGGGGGGGGGAAGGGGGGGGAAGGGGGGGGGGGTATGAGATCAAGTAAGGGGATATGAGTCCCTGTAGAGTTCTTCGAGTGATGAGTATGGCTTAATGGAACAAGGACACGCAATGCCCTACGTGTATGGTCCTTTCACTTTTGCTACCCCCTTAAAAAATGAGAAAGAGAGAAAGAGAGAAGAGAGAGAGGGAGAGGGAGAGGGAGAGAGGGAGAGAGAGGAGAGGGAGAGGAGAGAGGGAGAGGGAGAGGGAGAGGGAGAGGGGAGAGAGAGAGAGGAGAGCGAGAGAGAGAGAGAGAGAGAGAGAGAGAGAGAGAGAGAGAGAGAGAGAGAGAGAGAGAAGAGAGAGAGAGAGAGAGAGAGAGAGAGAGAGAGAGAGAGAGAGAGAGAGAGAGAGAGAGAGAGAGAGAGAGAGAGAGAGAGAGAGAGAGAGAGAGAGAGAGAGAGAGAGAGAGAGAAATCAACTTAAAAAAAAACACTATTTTCCGCTGTGTAAGAGGATGCAGCGTATCTGCGAAAGACCCAAGCAAAGAATAAAAAAGAAGAGATAATTTATCTCACGGCGCGGAATTCAAACCATCCGCCATCTTGTGTCGCTCCTAATTTTCCAAAGCCAGAGTCCCATCCACACGCGACTCTTCGGACGAGCTCTTCAAGGGTTGCTTTGTAATCTCCCGCGCAATTCAAGCTTCCAATGAGGTTGATTAATGATCCAAGCGGTATGCTCCTTCTCCTCCGTTATCGAGGAGGTTGACTATGACACTATCACTTTTTCCGTCATTTTTTTTGCGTTTCCGAATGAACTTACCGAACGAAAATCGACTGACCAACGTAAACAAACATGGCGCTATCGGAGTGAGGTCCCGGGAATCACACGAACATTTTAATACTTACTACGTTATTTTAGAGATGCATGATGATGTGTATTGTATATACGAATGTTCTAAAATATGAGCTTATGTTTACATTCACTCATCCTATCTAATTTATCAAGAGCACAAGATCAACACGGAAAATAGTCAGACGGAAACGGTCTTCGTCTGGGAGGCGTTCCGTTTGCAGACGACACGCGGAAAGCCTCAAATTCAGACGGAAACGCAAAAATTGACGGAAAAAATGATAGTGTGATAGAGCCATGACGCGGATACTGAAACCACTGCACGTCGTCAAAAGGGTTAGAGAGCTGCTCATGACAGAGGGTTCGGGAAACTCCTTCCTGTGAAAATAAACACCGTCCCGTTGTTTGGAAATGCTCCCAGTCCATTAATAGGAAGAATTCCATTTGGCTCTGTGTTCACGAGACGGGCAGCGAGCCACCCGGTTGAGGCTGTTCTGACACGGATCGCCTTGTCAACGGGCTTATAAAAGTTTTCGTTATAAAATTGAGCAAAACCTGGTGTAAGTCTCTCTCCCTTTCGTTCTCTCTGTGTTTCTCCTTTTCACTCCTCTTTCCCATCCTCTCTCTGGCTTTCATTCTCTTTTTCTCTCTCTGTTTCTCTTTTCCACTCCTTCTCCTTCCCACTCTCTCTGTCGCTTTCATTCTCTCTCTCTCTCTCTCTCTGTATTTCTCTTTTCACACCTTCTCCTTCCCACCCTCTCTCTCTATCTGTGATTCTTTTCACTCCTTCTGTTTCCCATCCTCTCTCTGGTTTTTATTTTATCTCTCTCTCTCTCTCTGTTTTTCTTTTCCACTCCTTCTCCTTCCCACCCTCTCTCTCGCTTTCATTCTCTCTCTCTCTCTCTGTTTCTCTTTTCACTCCTTCTTCCCCACTCTCTCTCTCGCTTTCATTCTCTCTCAATTCCTCTTTCCACTCCTCTGCCTCTCTCTCTCTCTCTCTCTCTCTCTCTCTCTCTTTCTCTTTGTCTCTCTCCTCCCCCTCTCTCTCTCTCAACATCGCTTTTCACTCTCTCCTCTCGCTCACTCTCATCCTCACTCCCTCCTCCTCCCTCCCTCCCTCCCTCCCTCCTCCTCCCTCTTCCTCCCTCCCTCCTCCCTCCTCCCTTCCTCCCTCCTCCTCTCCCTCCCTCCCTCCCTCTCCTCCCTCCCTCCCTCCCTCCTCCCTCCCTCCCTCCCTCCCTCCTCCCTCCCCTCCCTCCTCCCTCCCTCCCTCCCTCCCTCCCTCCCTCTCTCTCCTCTCAACTTCGCTTTTCACTCCCCCCCTCCTCTCACTCTCTCCCTTTCTCTCTCTCTCCCTCTCTCTCCCTCCTCCTCCCCTGTCTCTTGTTAAAAGAAGGTTAAAAAACACTCGCAAAAATCCTGCCAATCTGCTTTGAAGCCCAAGATATGTTTATTTCTCCTGCCACGTTTCCTAGACAACATACTCCCCTACCGAACACTGAATGAAGCTCTATCTGAAATGAAATAATATGAAATAGAGAAATGAAAAAAGAGAATCGAGAATGGTCAATCAAAACCATGAATAAAGATGAGAAACGAGAGCAGAAAAATGAAATGTGAAGAAGAATAAAATGAATATGAAAGAGAAATTTTTGAACAAGAGATAGAATGTAATAAATGAAATAGAATTAAAGTAAAATTAATAACAAACCAATAAAATGATATAGAAAAAAATAGTAGAAAATAAGATAAACCGGTAAAAGAACATAAAATAAGCAAACCAATAAAGAAGTTACAGATAAAATAGAATAAAAAGATAAATAAATGAAAAAGGAGAAGAATAAATGAACAGAAAAAATAGAAAAATAAAGATAAGTGAATAAAAGAATGAAAAAAACAAACAAACCAATAAAGAAGTAAGATAAAATAGATAAAAATGAATAAACAAATGAAAATGGAAAAGAATACCTGAATAGAAAAAACATAGAAAAATAAAGATAAACGAGTAAAAGAACATAAAAATAAACAAACCAATAAAGAAGTAAGATAAAATAGATAAAAATGAATAAACAAATGAAAATGGAGAAGAATAAATGAATAGAAAAAATAGAGAAATAAATATAAAGGAATAAAAGAAAAAAAAAATAAACAAACGAATAAAGAAGTAAGATAAAATAGATAAAATTAAATAAATAAATAAATAGAAAAATTAGAAAAATAAAGATAAATGAATAAAAGAATGAAAAAACAAACAAACGAATAAAGAAGT